CTTAGTCTTAGCAAACTTCTAGCTTGCTCATAGAGCAAATATAGTTGCTTAAGCTTGTTCTTGGTGAAAGAGTACCTGAGTGATTGTGTCTTACCTCATATATGAATACCTAAATAGCTCACTCTGTGTTTAGGTCTTTAATCGTCAAGGTTGTTACATTAAATCTTTTAAGATACTATCATAGGTTTTCATCAAGTTTTTGCCTTATAGCCAATAAGCTTGCAAAGAAGCACACAGTAACCCTACTACTGAGGAAATAGCTAAAAAACTATCGACTGAATGCGTTAAAACTGTCGATGCTCTTATGGGCTATCGAATAAAACCATGTACAGGCTCTAGCCTATAGTGTTGTGAGGAGGACTCTATAATTTACTATATTTGAGACATTGTGGAGGTCCATGAACTATCTAAATTGGTTCAAGTGATCTTCAAGGTCAATGGTTCCATTGTAGGTTTCTTTAAAGAGTTTAAAGGATATAAGTATGATGAGGATGGCTAAGGGGTTATAGTCATTTTTGAACCACTGTAAGCTTTTATTATTTACTTTTTTAAAGTATCACAACTCATTACGAAGAGCAACAATCTACTCTATGAGTTCATTATTAGAGTTAAGCTTGTTAAGGGTTTGGCTTTTTATTGTTGGTTTAGGAAGGTAAATGTTGTCTTAGAGAGGATAAGGGTAGTCTTCAACATGCTAAGGAAGGGCTTGTAGTGGCTCTCTAAAGAAAGAGGCAAAAATTTCTATAGGATGAGGTTTTTTCTTCTGTGGTTTTTGGGTGGCCTGCTAGTAGTATTAAAGTAATCTTTGCAAGGTAACCATTTAAAAGTTGGATCTAGTTCATTAATACATGGTAAAATTCTAAAATAGGCTATTACAAGTTTGTTTGATACATTAGGATCTATAGGGCTAGAAGTGTAACTTGTATTATAGAAGTAGTAGGAGGAATGTTTTACTAGTAAGTTGTTTTTATTATTTATAAAGATTGTATTTGTTGTAGGGGCTATGAAGTTGGGTTTAAAGGCCCAATAAGAGTAGTGTAGACTAAAAGAAGACTCAAGGTCATATTCAGAGACCAAACTCCCATTAAATTTTGGTAATAGCTTATTGGCTGTGAAGTCCAAGCATTCAACTACATAGGGTTACTAGGAAATGAGAAGATAGTATCATACCATGGTGTCTATGGTGGAAGGATTCATGATGGAATTTGTGAGGGAATTAGGGAACATAGTTACGACATCAAAAGTGACTGCAAGTTAAGTAGTCACGTGTAGGGTTAGGGTTGCTATTTCAAAAGAGTGCGTGTAAGATAAGGCTATCATTTCCCACAAATGATACCAATTGTTAAGGGTGTTTTAGGTGCTAATAGGGTGAAGGATGACTTAGAGGTCGTATGAGAGATCACTTGCACTTGTAGTAGGAAAGCATGGTCAGAAGACATCGAAGTTGGTTTTTTAGGATACGTTCTGACACTCTAATTAGTCAAATATTTAAGGTTTTTAGAAGAAGAGAGTGAATTACAGAGAGTGTTAAATTAGCTTAAGAAAGAAAGATCTAGTGTTCTTACCCGGGCCTTCTTTTTACCTTATATACTAAAAGAAGGATGACAATTATTGTTATGGTTATTGACAATTAATGGTTAGTCCATGTGAAGCTCGAGAAAAGATCACGTAAGTGAGTGTGGACTACATTTAATGATCTTAAGCTAGCGTGGGTTGCATCTACTGATTCCAAACAAGTTGGAAAATAGTTAGTCTACCATGAGGTATGCCCTGATAGAATGTTAGTGAAGGTAGTTAAGCAAGTGTAAGTCCTCATTGGGCGAGGATGAAGGCAAAAACAAGCCTACTTTATGGTGAGTACTAACTTGGCGAGCATGAGGATTGACCAATTTGATTAAATGGGAAGGTATAACACATATACTTAAGTTTTAAAGTTTGGTATTAACTTTAAGAGTTTTAACATTTGTAATCTTCATAATTTTGTAATTTTTATTTAAATTTCTAATCATCTCCCACTTGTGTATGTATAATTAACTTTTGGTCAAAATATGCAATCCATATTTTCCTTTCCTAATAGTGTATATATATGGCTTAATATCAAATATACCTTCAAATTTTAGTAAAAAATAGAATTAATCCATGATCTTTTATTGCATGTAAATAAAGTTATTGTTAAAAGATAAGAAATTTGTATTAATTAGCCTTAGTAAATATTATACATATGTGTCCTATTTATACATGAAGACTTTTATTAATTAAAAAAAAAAACCTCATATGATATCATAATCGATCGTAATCCTAGATATTATTCTAATTATAATATTATAGTCCCTAATATTATGTTTGGTTACATAATTACAAAATATTACATTAACATCCCCTCAAACTTAATATGATATTGTAAATGCTAACTTGAGTTTGTCAATTAAATTTTGAGAACAACCAAAAAAAAATGTGTCTGAGTTTGTGCCCTTAAAATAAGCTTTTGATACTTGGACCCACAAATTATAATTATTTCCATTTTTTAAATAGAACTCGCAAAAACAAAAGTAAAAACATGAAGTCAAGAGATTGAAAATATTGAAGTGACGGTTGACCAGATAGGTTTAAAACTGACATGGCATATCAAATGGCAAATTCAAAGCTAACAAGGTCTGACACAAATCAAGTTTGATGCTGACGTAACATAACACATGTCAGGTCTAAAGATGACATGGCAAAACACATGATAGATTCAGGAGCTAATATGACGTAACATACAGTAAGTTTGGAGCTAACGTGGTGTAACACGTAGCAAGTTCAAAGAAATTGTGATGGAACATGTGGCAGGTTTAGAAGATGATGTGGCATAACACATTATAGGTTCAAAAGCTGACAGTATGTAACACATAGCATGCTCAATAGATGACATTTTGCTCGGAACTGAAATGGTGTAACTCATAACATATTTGGAGATGCCATAGCAAAATACATGATAAGTTTAAGAATTTATGTTACATAACACATAGCAAAGTTGACATAACATAACATGCAACAGGTTTAAAGAAGTCGTGACGGAACATGTGAAAGGTTTAGATCTAACGTGGCATTATTATTTGTGTAAGACCAAAAAAAATAGACACAGGTTATTAGTAAACGATTCCGGACAATGAGGAAGGCCTTTATGCAGTGGGGATACTTTTTGGAAGTCTGAATTGAAAAGCATTAAAAGCTTCTCAAAATCAAAGGTTGGGATCCAATTTCCATGGATAATTCCACCTATCCGACGAGAAAGTAATGATGTGGGTGGATTTCATGTCTTTTTAACCAACCGAACGAAATAAATAAATAAAGCAGAAAACGATTTAAAACCTAAAGAACGAAATAATTGAATTGCTTTACATTATTCTCAATTCTTATCCTTTCGGTTTTAAAAATCTCTTCCTCCTGGAAAGCTGTTGGGATGGCTTGAAATTTCAACCTATCACCTCTTTATAAAAGAAAACATTTTTGCCAGGAGATAATGACCTTCTACTTCATATATAAGCAAGCAGCATGGTAGGCCACAATTGAAAAGAAGGTGATACAAAGATGAGCCCTAGAAGATGAAAAGGAATAGATGATGGGGCACAAAAGGATTGAAGATGATATGTAACGTATTTGTGTGAACATGCAAAGATGTTGACACAAAATAATTGAATTGCTTTAACATACCTGTCAAATTCTTCTCCTTTTGGTTTAAAAAATCTCCCATTCGAAGAAAGCTGTTGGGTTGGCTTGAAATAGCAATCCGTACGTACTTTGAAGTGTTATTGGACTAAACTAAACCCAATTAATGTTTTTGTCCAACACCTCGTCTAGTTCAATTATTAATATTTGTTTAGCTTTGTTATATTAAAATAATATTAAAAAATATTTTTTATATATTTTTGAATTATATTAAATAAAAAATTTTATTAATAAAATCATATTTTGAATTAGATCAAATTAAAATTGAGATTAAAAAATTTTATTTAAAATATGACTCGAGTCGGGTCAAATTCATAAGCATGACAAATCTATAAATAGGGATGAATTTAAAATTTTTAATTAGTGGGAGCAAATATTTAGAAGTAATTTAAAATTTTTATTAAGATATAAATTAATATATAAAATTACAAACAAAACCAATAGCGTATAAATTTTTTTAATAGAAACAATATTTATATAGCTAAACTAATTATAATTCTTAAGAAATATAACCTAAACATTATTTATAATATAGTATCATTTATTTTTAATAAACAAATAGATTTTATTTTTTATTTATTAAAATTTAAAGACAAGCAAATGTCTTTTTATTCTACGTGAAAGTAAGAATCAAGACGTAAATCTATTGCAGTTAAAAACAATTTATTATTTTTATTAGTTCATATTTTCTATGTTAATATAATTTAAAGCTCTTGAGAGGGTTTTTTCGCCTTAGCAGGTGCTTAAAAAGCATGGCACGATGGCATACATATTGGAATTGCCTGAAATGATCAAGGATTAGCCGTGATAATGATTTGAATTAAATTCGCTTAATCCATAATATTATTATTTTTTTAAAATCAATTCAATTCGAATTTAATTTTATTAATATTATAAACTTTTAAAATTTAATCTGAATTCAAAACCAAATATTTTTTAAAACAATCTAATTTAAATTAAATTTTATCAAATTTTTCTTAAATCAATCTAATTCAACCAATTCGATTCAAATTAAATTTTATCGATTCATCAAATTTTAAAAATTAATTTTTTTATTTTCTTATATTATTTTAATATAATTTGTAATATATTCAAATAAATTTAAATATAAAATAATAATTTTTACTTTAAAAAAATTCAAAATATATATGCACTAATAAAAATATATAATTTAATTTAATTTGATTTTTTTAAATTTTTTACTTGAACCTAATATATATTTAATATTTAAGTTTAATCTAAATCAAATTAAGAAAAAAAAAAAAAACGAAATCCAATCTTAACATTACGGTTTTGAGTTGGGTTTCTTGGTTTTTTTTAACCTAACCAAGATTCACCTTGTGTTTTATGTTTCTCAGCTTAAAAATAATGTTGGATGCAGATGGGATAATTGCCAAGGAACCAATTCAATTATGGAGAGGAGGTAGGAAAGAAAGGCAACAGGACATTACCAAGGTATTGGTACAGTGGAGAAACTGCTTCATAAAAGATTCAACTTGGGAGAACTTGTCATACAATAAAAAAAAAAAAAAACCTTTTATCCCACAAAAGAATAATTTATCACAGAAATAACAAACAACTAAAATATAACCACAATTTTTCATAACTTTTGAACATAAATTTTAGTCATTACAATTTTGAACTGCAAAAACAATGTCAAACAATAGAATTAAACTATTTTATGGCTGATGCTCTACTCCAGGAGTTCATTTTAGAAAAGTGTTCGTTCTCCTATAAATCTAACGGGAATTAAGAACCCAACGAATGCTAGGAGGAATATGATACCTCCTAGATATATAAAATTAAATCATGGAAGAACTAGATATACCATAGACATCATTCAAGAAATTGGCCTTAAAGAGTTGTTGTTGATCAAACATGGTGAAATAGAAAAAGGAATTAGAAGGGGCTAATCTGACGAGCCAACCTTAACAAAATCTCAGGCACGAGGCGTTTTCTTGGAGGTGCTGAAGCATCCTTCATAAGAGCTTTCTCGTCACCGGCATGTATCACAGCAACCACATGGTCAAATAGGTCGTCCTTTCCTCCTCTTAAAGGGTCCTGCATAGCAGTAATCGATTTTAGGGGAGGAAAGAAAAGTTTTTCAATGTCATATCAATAAAATTGTCATAACTTTAATTGCTTAAGGAGCTAGAAAGGAGGTACACCTTCTTCAAAAGCCATACAAAAAAAATTAAGTTGCGGAGATCAATGTTCGATGAATTCTATGCATTTTCTCAAACAATTCCATTAAACAGTAAAACAGTATATGCTAGATTCAGACATTAAAAAAAAAAAATTTGTTTAACAAGCTTTTACTTACCCTTATAATTCATAAACCAACCTTAAAGGATCAATCCTTAAATATTGTCAAAAATCATGAAAAAAAGAGTTCCGAGTAGAAGTGTATTTTGGTTCAATTAGACTTCTAATAAAAACCCAAAAAAATGATGAAGCATGGTCCTTGGGTTGAAAGATAGCCCAATAACGACAATGAGAGCTGAAGTTGTGGTGAAAGGAATGTCAGAATATGTTTATATAGTTCATGAAGACAAGTCAAACTCAAAACCTTGAAACTTAGATTAAAAGGACCCCAAGTCAGGCATACCAATGGATGTGGTATGTGAAAATTTGATAATGGTACATTTAGTTATATATCAAAAAAGTAGACGCACGACCAGAATGCAGTAAAAAGTATATTAAACCTATAATGACAATAAAAAGCTAGTAATGATCACTAACCTGTAAAAACAGATCGGTATGAGATTTTCCTTCATATAAAATTACCTCTGCCTCAGCCCCTACCTCCTTAAGAGCATCTACAAAGTTTATGCTGCACAGAAAATATCAATATCAGGAAATAATGCAGCAATTTTAGTGACAACTTTCTATAAACCCACTGCAGCAGTAGATGACTTTTCACAACTTTTAATAATGTTTACCTTTATGATCTAGAAATTCTATAAAATTGTATTTGACAGGGATGGCAAATTTTGAAACAGTTGCATTACTGGCAATATAATATCTGTTCTTCATCGCCATGCATTTAGTACAGAGCACAGTATCCAGTGGAATTATTCCAATTGTAATCATTATTAAATAATACCTATTATAATTCCACAACAAAAAAATAAAGTTCTGGGATTAAATAATAGAAGGTACCCACTCATCACCTGGATGTGAAAGATTCTTTTTTTTTAGTAGTATATGTAGTTTGAAAGCAAACAAAGATATTAAATGATCAACATATAGAAGCCATATCCAATAAAACTTAGTTGTTAGCACTATGCCAACAGGCATTCTAACCTGGCATCTGATGGTATTGAATAATCTGCAGTTCCATGGAAAAGTTTAATAGGGGGCAGAAGAGAAGCAGCTCCTCTAATGCTTGGATCTTTTATTCTAACTTCAGGAGAAAATTGTTCAAAGTACTCTTCCCCTTCCATAATGCTGTAACATCAAAACAAAACTTTAGTGGCACAATAAAAGGAAAATGAAAAGTATATATAGATGGTTACCAGAAAAGATTATAGCCAAAATACCTTAAAAAGATGGAGCGATAAAGGCCTCGATTGTGGAAATGGTTGACCAAATTGAATAAATTGTACCTATTTACACAATTTAAAAGGAAATAAAGCACATATTTTCTACAACTATCAATCTGTTTATACAAATTAAATAGAAAATAAGACCATACAATGTACAACTATCAATCAACAGAAAAAGATTAACTTATTCCCTACAAAATGTAAAGAACGGCCTATCACTTTTAGCAGCTAGCTCATATATCTTCAGCATTTCAAGAAAGTCTTTACATTCTAGAAGTAGTGAAGGAAAATGCTCCAGTCACAAATGCTCACAGCATAGCGTCAGATAAAATATTTTGGCCATAGTTGTTGTAATTTAATAATAATCAAAATGAAGGATCATATCAAAATTCTATCTAAATAATTTCAAATGATGTTGTCTCTCTTTGACAAGGCAAAAGTTAGCCTGTGGTAAATAAGGTCAAACTTCTTATTGGCAAACATGTTGACAAGTAGGAAGCAGATTGCTTACTAGCTGATACAAAAGAAATAGTGTACAACGCAACATAAAATGTTTTATGTAAAATAAGATACCAAAAGCAAACTGGCAAGGGAAATGAAAGATAAAAAGCATGATGTAAACATAATAAACTGCATTTTACACTATTTGAGTAATTCCAACAGTAGTGATACCTTCTAGCAAGATAACTTCTATGAAATTCAGAAAGCATGGAAATTATGCTCCAAAAAACAAATATCTAAGCGAAAAAACACACGGAAACTGAGGAGAATGATTTGCAAACCATGAACTCACGACACAACAAAGCAAAACAAAGCCAAAATTCAAGATAAATCTATTTCAAACATTGAAACTTTGCTTCAAAAATTTATTGCTAAATGTCTTTCAGCTAGACCTTATCTGGAGCATTAATGTTCCATAACCATTTCCATGAGACACTCATGCACTCCACATAAGAAATGATAAGATAGCTTGTTGTGTATTCAGGCATAGGGTATGAACTTTTTGTCATACAAAAGGTATTAAAAAGGTTTTCAATTCAGATAACATTAAGAATTTGGTAGTCTCATAACAGAGATCCTTGCAGATCATTAATCCTGTTGCTGAAATATATACTAATTATGCCCAAAAATAGGTAAGTGGAGCTTTTCCCGGATCCAACATATCGTATAAAAGACTCAATGATAAAGAACACATAAAATTTTACCCTCCAGATAAACCAAAATAAGCTTTTATCTGGGAGACACTCCAGGTGATGTTTTCTCCTCTAGATTCTTTAATTGCTTGCTCCAAGAGAACACAAGAAGAAATATGTGCCCCTGCTGACTGCCCCATTAAATAGATTCTATTCAAAAATAACCAAAAGAGAGTCAACTGACATAATATGAAACTAGGAGAGTCAAGCAAACTCAAAAACCAGTCAGTCACCTATTAGGATCACCTCCATATTGCCCAATGATGCCGCAGACAAATGAGATCCCTTGAGATACATCTTTCACCATATCACTAATAGTTCCCTGGGGAAAGTTTCTGCATTGAAATACCAAGCCAGACTGTTAGTGGTTGAAGAAAACAGACAGGCATCATGATATAATTAAATTCTATGAAATATGTGAGACAGTTAATAACAGGGGAGGGAAATTGCATGAAGCATAGAGACAAAACCATTCATTGGATATGGCATTCCATTAATGAAGTTACAAGTACTTATTTTAACCCTTAGAATACTTCACTCACAAGTGGCATTGCTAGCGAACATAAACACAGCACCAAGTCATGGCATAAACCAAACTAATACCTGTAATCAACACATGCTACCATGATATCTCTTTCTGCCAATTGTAGCCCCAGAAGGGAACCCCAAGCCTTGTACCTAAATCAACAGAAAAGTTCAGAAACTTCACATAAAAAAATTGAATGATCTTATATAATTTCAGGTGCCCGGTGAAAATTACCAAATTAAATAGAAATGCAAAATCTAACAGTTGTACATTAAAATGTGACTGATACAGATGCAGCAATCTCATGTCACTCACCCAATTATCCAGGCTCCACCGGTCACAAACACCACAACTGGCTTTGGGCCATTACTATTTGTTGGCAAGTATAGATCCAATCTGTCAGATCATCACCCAAAGAGAAAACAACAGAACTAATTTATGATGTGTGACAAGCAAGTTCATAAATATAACTCCTTGTGCCACAAATTCACATACCTATTCCTTGGTTCATCTCCATAGACAATACTCCTCCGCACTTGACTCGAGAAAAAATAACAATATGCAACTGTAGAAGTTTAACAAGTTATGCTTCACAAATTATATTCTATCAACCTGAAGATATTTAAAAGCAACCTAGAAGACAACTATTTCTGGCACAGGTGAACGACACAGCTAAACTTCCATTTCTGTTTCAATCCACCACATATTAGTTATGTTTCGCTTTCATTACACCACATATTCAATCTTGAAACTGCCTAAGTATGAAGGCAAACATATAGCAGATGTCATTTACTCCCAGGCAAAGAGTGCATGATCACAATCTTCATAAACTTAACTCGACTTCTATCACACACGACCAAGGCTTTAAAATACGATTGTAGCTACGTTTCAGTCGCGACATGTTTATTGCAGTTGTGAACATAATGGATAAGACAGCAGTAGTCACACTCATCACTGTCGTGATTTTTTTTTTTCAATTTTGCACAACTTAACGTAAAATGAAGTAAAAAGTAATTTTGATAGTAATAATACTTATTTATGATATTTAAGTAATTTATAATATACTAGTTCTTTCATTTATAGGCTAAATAATTTTTTCACATATTTTAGTTATAACTCAGAATTAATATGCTCATTTAAAATATTTTTCATTAACATATCCTTGAATTTTATGGACATAATGCTATGAATATATACAATGGACAAAATATCTTATATGCAGATAACCTCATAAATTAATTTAATTAGAAAATAACATTTTAAATGTTTTTATAACATATGTGATTATTGGGGAAAAATGATTAAAACTGAACCCTTTAAGCACGGATACATATACTTTCTCATTAGATCAAATATCTAAGTGCAACATTTAAATAACTAATTAAACAAAAAATAATTAATAGTTAGCAATCTAATTTTTTTCAACTCACAAAAATACAATTAATAATAACATAATTAATATAATATTAGTAATATCAAAATTATATAACAAAATTAATTCTTTTAAATAATGTTACATGCATAAAACTCATTAAAAAACAAACCCACTAATTAACAACTCACAAAGAAAAGTTATGATTGAAAGCCCAATCATAGTAAAAAAAGGGTTTGATCCTGGCTCAGAAAGAGGGCCCGGCTATATGCTTAACACAAACTTCTTGAAGGGCCCAAAGAAATAGACCTTTTTTTTTTCCAGTTCAACTCCATTGGCTTTTTTGGGTGACACTGTTCATTGAATCTCTATAGTTCCCATTTTGAGTAGATGCCACACGTGACAGTATCCTTTCAAAATCCCCACCAGATTCTCCCCTAATTCTCATTTGGGTTTGTCACTCTTCTTTCCCATCCCACAAAAAAGCCACCCATGACTCAGCCCAACCAACCACTCTCCGACTTTACTCAGAACGTCACACTCTCCCTCAATGGATTTTCAACTCTAAACTTTTATCTATCTCTCAAGTCCCAAGTGTCAAGTTTGGAGAAGAAGACACACAACTTGAGGCCATCAACCATGGTAGCTCTAAGAGAGCTCTCTCTCTCTCTCTCTCTCTCCACACCATGCACAAATTTAAACAAATGTGAAGACGAAAAGGTAATTTTAAATGAATATTTGTTTCTTACCTTGAACCATTTACGTCATTTATTTTAATTAAGGGTTGATTTCGTTGAATTTTGACTGAATTGTTTGGAGTTACATGGGTTTTTTTCTCTACTTTTCTCGATTTGCTAGTTTGCTTTTTGATTTGAAAAAAAAAAAGGCATAAATAATGGTTTTAGCACACCGTTACTGAGTGCAATTTTCTTGCTACACTGTTATTTGCAGAAGAGAAGCACCATTATATGTTCGAATGACGATTCACACCTTCATTGCAGTGAGTAACAATGGTGGAGGCTGTCATTACCACTAAATAGCAACCCTTTATACCACAATATGGATGCTAGTTAAATCGTTGTATACAAGTATGCCTCCCCCATGAATCCAATTATTGGGAGAATCAAGATAGACAGGGGGAGAGTTACAACCAAGTCACTGAAAATTGAAAAAGGTCTAAAAACGAGTATTGTTAAGAAAATATTCTAAAATGACCCCACTTGAAAAGAATACGCCAGCAAATATAAAGTATTCAAATAATTTTTACAAAAGATTGTGCATGTCATATACATAAATTTTAAAGCTTGAAAGAAATTTTGATAATTTCATTAGTTTGTAGATAATAGGCACAATGACATGAGCTTTGGAGTTTGTAGTGAAATATTTTTCCTCTATTATTGGTTAATAAGGAGATGCAAAGAACAAGACAACAAAATTTGTCTCTTTTGTTTCTTTTTATAATTTAAAATTTTTAAAAAAACAATCAAAGATGAAAATAGTTCCCTTTGGCCTTTATAAAAAAACAAGGGCAGCCCAGTGCATATGCATAAAGCTCCCTTTGGCCATTTATATACTCATCAATTTATAATAATAATAATAATAAGCAACACTAAAACAAAGGAGAGAAACATGAGAAAATTTGTTTTGGTTCTTCAATTTTCATAAAAAAGAAAGGTGCAACTAATAATGAAACGAATAAGGTATGATGATTTTTTTTCTTTTGACATTTTTAAGCAAAGTCAAAATAGGAGATAAAATTTAACACATAGGTATGTGTACAAACTTTTCAGGCCCTAGTTTTGAGTTGAGAAAATTCATTTTCATAGGTGTGTGTAAAAACTTTTCAGGCCCTAGTTTTGAGTTGAGAAATTTCATTTTCATAATATAATTACTTTAGGAATAGGTTAGAATGGTAGATTTTTTGTACCACTATTACTTGTATGATTTTAAATGTTGAATTTATGTTAGATTATTAGATGAATCAATGTTGGTGGGTATTGTTTTATATAAATTGAAAAATCAAATGTAAGGTGAAATTAAATCTAGTATTACTATCTTAGTCATTTAATTATTTTGTTTCTAAGAAAGTATAGGTTCTTAAAAAATAGTTGCAAATATATTTGTATTATCACTAGAGATTAGGCTAGAAATTTTTGTGAGTGAGGTCAACAATCTAATATAATATTGCCATTCATGATGCAAAAGTTAAATAATATTAATTTTGTATATATATCTTTTAAATATAGCTATAATATCATTATTGTATATACTCATTTTGTTTGGGAAAGATAACCTTTTAGGTGACTAATCACACTTATATAAAAAAGATTGATGGCGACTCCATAATTTACTTCAAGTTTAGCGATCGAGTCTTCCCAGAGTTAAAATCATTACAACAATTACCAAATGTAAGATACAAAGAAACAAAAAATGATTTTTCAATATTATGGATTTAGCACATTGTTTTTACTTCTTTATGAAAAATTATGGCTATGTACTTGACTAGATCTCTTTTAAAAATATGCCCCCTCCACTTCATCCCAATTATTAAGATGATAAATCAAAATTCCAATATAATGTCTCGAGTCCACTAAAAGATTTTTTCTAAATCAAGGTTAGTACAAGCTTGCTATAGACATTGTTGAGTAATATCATGATAAAAAGCTTCTTTCTAGTATCAATCTAGTAACCAAATAAAAAAGAGACATGTAAAGGAAAAAGTTAGAATTATTCTAACTTTAGTAGAAAATTATGAACTTTGAAAATTAAATTACAAATTAGAAACACTAGAAGCATAATTTATAGCATTTTTCAACAACCAGTATTCTTTTAGAAAAAAATAATTAAATTAATAAATTAATAAGTTATTAATATAAAAACAATTCAACAACATTTGATTCCAATTTATCTCAAAACGTACCCATCAACATTAAATTCAACTAACCAATCTAACAAGCATTAAACATTTAATATCAAGTATCGAATAATATCATTTTAGCACAAACAAAATCCAAGAAATAATGCTAAAAAAAATCTTTCTTACTTATTACTAAAGCAATCATTAATATGAAAATGAAATTTCTCAACTTAAAATTAGGGTTTCAAAAGTTTGTACACACCTCATCTGTCAAACTCTCTCTCCTCGTTTGACTTCGCATAAAAATACCAAAAAAATCTTTACACTTTAATCTTCTTATCTTATTAGTTGAAAATTTTCCATTTTATAAAGATTCACGTACCATAATAGCAAATTTTTTCTTGTCCCTCTCCCTTGTGATAATGCTCCTTCTATATTTGTACTATGGTTTTTTTTTTTTTTTTACCTTCTCCAATAAGCTTATGGGCCTAGAAGAGGTCAAAAAGAGAACTACTTTTTTCTTTAATTTCTTGTATTTTAAATTCTAGAAGAGAACAAACGAGACAAACCTTTTTGTCTTATTCTCTACTTCTTATTAAACAAAAGTACAAAATAACATGTTTCACTTCAAAGTTCAAAGTTCAACGTTCAGTCATGGGTCCAATTGTCAACTAAGAATTGAGACTATCAAAGCTCCTCTCAAGTTTTATATCCTTAATAAAAATTCTTTGCATTTCTTTCTCAATGGGATCAATTTGGAACTTTTCCTAAATTATAATATATATTACTAAAGATTTTGCAAATTTAGGTGGTCAATTGACCCTACTTTAATGAAAGATAAGGATTGAATTTACCACTTTACTTTGGCAAATGAACCAAATTTACCATGCATCTTAAAATACATGCAATTTTAACATGTACTTTTAATTTGGTTCATAAATAGTCAAAAGTTAAAAGTAAAAGGAATTTCAGGAAATATTCCTTTTACTTTAATTAGAGTGATAAATTTGGACCTTATCCTATTTAATTATTCAAAGTTTATAAAGTTTTACTACAATTAGATTGCTTTTAATTTTTATTAAAAATGTCTTTTTATTGAGTAAATGGCTAAATACCAAAAAAGAATATCAATTTTGGAGCAACCAAAAGTAATCATTACAGCAATACTCAACCATGTTCAAAGCAAGGTCGTATTCAAATTAATTTAAATCTTTCAATGGATCAAAGACACCATACTAGAATTCAAATTATCATCCTAATGCCCAAAATAAAGTATGAGGAGCATATTTGTAAAAGCTGACTTTGTTAATCACATAAATTTTCCATAAAGACGTATTAGAAAATGTGATATGTCAATTTATATCGAACATTCTGCTTTTGTTGTTTGTCTCTTATTTTTGGAAATGATATTATAACTATGTTTAAAAATTATGTATAAGAAATTTAATACTCTAGTTTTTTTTTCTAATGTGAATGATAATATTATATTAGTTTATTGACCCCACTCAAGGAAAATCCTAGCTCCAGCATAAAGAAAACTTCATTGGTTGTGATCATTTTCTGCAGTAAAATAACAAATTGGACCCTACTTGGTGTTCTTGTCAACGGGTAAAGGATTATGAAACAGCAAATAATTCAGTAATGGATTATGAAAACTATACAAGTATACTATTCAAAGTTTCCGACTTCTTCATTTACTTTTTCTTTTTCCTCATTCTGATATATATATATATATATATATATATATTAATTTGGCTTCTTAGCTGATTTAGAAGAGGCAATCTCTTGCTCAACTTTCACTTCAACCAGAACCTACTTGTTTTTTTATCTAAAAGAAAAAGAAAGGAAGATGATTCCTAACAACAGGTTTGCAAATTCGTAGAGAAGATATAATCAATCAAAAATAGTAAAATACCTTGAAGAAAACCAGGCATAAGAAGCAAAGCATAACAAGCAAGGGCAATTAATCTTGTGATCCACCGGTAACCTACCCTGAATGAAAATGTATGATTAAAACAACATATATGATAATGAAGGGAAAAACAACATAAAATAAGTTCAAGGACAATAATATATATATATGTATATATACATATATATATGTATAATGAAGGGAAAAGCAACATAAAAAAAGTACAAGGACAATAATATATATGTATACATACATATATAAATATATACATGTGTGTGTTTAGATATATATAAAGAGCTAAAAAAATAAATTATTTTTGTCATTCATTAATTCTATCTCTAAAAATACCAACAAATTGTCAACAAAAAAACATTCAGCAAGCAAATTTGACAAGAACCAAGCTCAAAATATTGCAGAAGACGTTGATAATAATAACAACATTTCCATTAATCATAGAGCTGGTAAAAACTAACCCAACCTAAGAGACTCGCAGAAGCTTCCTTGGAACTCAACCCAATTAACCTACTCTGACTTAAACAGGTCAACTACTTAACTTGAACAACAAAAAAACTGAGGAACCAAAACTTGAATCAACTCAAACTAATACAAGTGCCATAGACCCAAGCCCAAGTGAGGTCAAAATAACCAAAAGTTACATTCAGGATAAATTTTTTTCTTTTATCATTTTGAAATTAAATTTGATTAGAGATAATAAATAAATAAATAAATAAAAAATTATTACCAAATAAACTAATTTGATTCAGGTGTGCATGTGTGTGTGTGTCTGTGTGTCCATGTGCCTATCAACTCAATTTGAACGCAAAATGACCTAAATACAAAACTACTTGGACCGGACGTAACAGATCCAGATTGACCCAAACAGACGGTAAACAAAACAAAACAAAAAAATACTCAACCAAAATGACCCAAACCTAGATTAACCTAAACCCAAATGAGTCGAAATTATTGGAAACCAAACCCGTGTCTCCCAATTGTCACCTCTTAATTGGAATCAATTAATATCTTAAAACTTAAGTCGTTAGTTTTTGAATCAATTAATGATTGATATGGAGCTCAGAAAAGTCACCAGTTCATTAATGCCAATATCATTTTACTATGATGGACAATAAGCAACAACCAGAAACCACCTGCTTCAATCTTCTTGACACAAAATTACACTTGAGGAGGCCATGGGATCAAACTTTGATTTCAAATAATTTCTAACTATTCAGAAACAGTTAATCATGCTAATTCTCCCTTAAGAAATTATAGAGAAACTCATTCAATTAAAAAACATAATCTCAAAATATGATTAGGCCCCTTTTAATTTGCTTTTGCTACAATCCTTTTGCTCCTGAAAGGCTGAAAGTAAAAACCAAGAAGTGCTTTTAAATGAAAAGAAAATAATATTTTTAATAAATTAAAAAATAACACTGCAATTTTTAAGAACAAAATAATTTATTTTTTGAAATTTTTTCATCTCTGGATTTTTTAAAGGAATTAAAACATATGCAATCCTGACTCCTAAGCAACCATTCAGGAAAATTATAGTAATTCTCTTTGCTGCTCTTCTTTCCTTCAACTTTCTAGGCAATCAAACACAGCCTATATTCATTAATAAAAAGTAAATACAATAGAAATACACTCAATTCTAATAAAAAGTATGATTAAAAAAGCTACTGAAATACGTAGTTAAATACGTCAAAATAATAAATAAATACGCATACATAAGAATGTATATTATACCCGAGATATCGGAGGAGGGTGAAGCTAAGCCGCGTAATAAGATAAGTTTCGGCGGCCGCGTGCCCAATTTCTAGGCTAAACGACGGCTTCCCCTCCATCCTCGCCGGTTTCCGGCAGCGCTGCTGTTGTTTGTGGTTGCCGAAAGTCCCAAAGGAGGACCCCAGGAATCTGCAAATCAAGCACCTAACATCGAAATCAAGATGCCTTTCACCTTGACGGAGGTGATCCACCGACGGTGACCATGATGTCATCGCCGGCCAAAGAAAAACGAAAGAATCGATCTGAGATTTGCGAGATAGATTTTTTTGTTTTAATCGTGACAATCTATGTCTGTGTTTATCATCACCCCTCGTTCAAGCCTTTGTTATTCTCTCTTTTGTGATTGGTTTTTATTCTTTTGTTTTGCCTTTTTGGAGTGCATGTAATGTGTAACATTTAATTGCCGACCTGGTTAACCGGTAATATTAAGCCACGCGGAAAGCAGCGATCTAGTGGGGTCCATGATGAAAGACCTTAGCTGAGAATAAAGATATAAATTATAAATTATTATTCATTAGTTATTCAAATTTAATTGGATTAAAATTTAAATTTTACTCAATTATTATAGAATTAAATTTAAATTTGAGTAGTGTAATTTATCCATTAAATCAAATTTAAATATTTTTATATTTAATTTAAATAATTTATTAGTTTAATTAAATTTTTATATTTAAATATATTTTTATTATGTTAATTAATAAAATATTTTAAATTCGAGTTATAATAAAAATAATCAAATTTTTATAAATATAATAATCGAATTTATTTTTATATATTAATCGACTTAATCGAATAAATTTAAATAATTAAATTTTATTTTAAATCAAACTTAAATTAATAAAATAAAATTCGATCAAATTCAAATCAAATTTTAAACCTTAAATTTTAAATTAAACTTAAATTTAAATTTAATACTCTATTAATTACACGTCTAACAAGAAAGAACTGCCGAGCAACATTTTTTTGCTATATTTTGGCGGGCCAAGTTTGATATCATGTAACGTTTCCTACTTCTTTTAAAAGCTAAAATAATAAGAAAAGAATCACGTAAGTCTGATATAGAAGCAATTTTTTTTTTAACACCATCCTCATAGATATTAATTTTATTCATTTGCGTGTTACCTGGCACAAAAAGATCTACCTATCATCTTTTTTTCTTTTTTTTTACATTTAGTAAATTATTTTATATTTTAAAAAATTTCTTAATCTTACCTCCATATATTTTTATCTATAAATTTTTTACCTGCGTATCAAATGTCCAAATAGGACACAAAAAATTTTTGTTTTACTTATTTTGATGTCATATGGCAATTTCGGTGAATTTTCTTTTCATATTTTCCTTTTTTTGTATTTTTATTTTCTTTTTGTATTTAACAAATAATTTTATTTTTTATATTTTTAAATTTTGGTATAGGGTGCATTGGATTTTTTTATTAAAAAAACTTTTTTCAGGTCATTTCTTTTTTAAATTATATAATTTTATTAAAAAAAAAAAAAACCCAACAGAGGTATTGATTTGGTATTCAAATTTGTCTTTTAGTTTTTTTTACCTTTTAATTTTTTAGTTTTTATTTTTTAATTTATACATTAAGTTATTTTAAAAAAATGAGGTCAATGAAGATATTCACAGTTGGCTTCCTATTCTTTTCTTCTTTGTCATTTTGTATTTTTTAATTTTTTTAATTAGATAAATTTTATAAAAAAATCAATAAAGATAAAAATAATAAAATAATTCGTATTTGATATATTTTAATTCTCTCCAATCCAATAGGTGTATTTTTTATATTTGAGATCATGTCAAGTTTTTTTTTAAATAAAAGTAAGGTCAAAGAAGGGTTTAAGATATTTTACCCCACTTTAGGTATATATAAAAATATATTTTATTATTTTTTTAAATACAAATATATTATATTAATAAAATTATTATTTAATACTTTAATTTAATAATGATACTATATTTATAAATAATTAAGATATAATTTACATTAAATTCTTTTATGAAATTATAGTAAATTTAAATCATTTAATTAATAGATTAATACAGGTCATATGTGGGTTATAAATTTAAGTGTCAAGTTAGGATTGACTATAAAAATAATAACTCGATATTGGGTCTAAATCGAAGTTGAGTTGAATTATTAAAAAATAGGTCAAACTTGGGATAAGCATAAACATGCCAAAACCCGACCCATTGTCATCTAAAAACAGATTTAGGTCTTGTCTAACTAGATATGCAATTGAGCTGATAAGTTTATCTTAAAATAAACAGATCAGCAATTTCTTATTATTGGTATAAGCAATCATCTTTCAGTAGTACATAATGACGTGGGTTAATGGTCATTGAGTATCATCATATTTCTTAAACTCTATAACTAAATTTTGGCTAAATCACCACATTTAGTACCAAACAAAGTCCAACCCCATCTATAGAGCCACAGAAATTCATTCCTTCTATGACTTGCAACCTCTCCTCTAGCAAGTTCATTTTGTGCTCGAACTTTTAGTCTTTTAAGGCTTCCATAGCCTTCAATTTTTCCTTTTTTGGATCATCTAAATTGGAGACTTAAACCGACTCCAGCAACTTTTTACTAAAACAATATTAATATAACTCTAAAACTATCCTTAAGTAAATGCGAATGATGTCCTAGGATAAGTATATGCTCCAGGGAAAGTGAATGATTGTGGCTAAACCCTTGAGAGGATTGAACTTGGTATAGACCAAACCTACGTCGATATAAAGAATCCACCATATCTTGTAATGGATCATCTAGTAGGTTAGGGTCTTTTAACATAACTTTCCCTTCATTCATCTTGTTTAATATTTCAAATATCATTTTTAATTCCTCTTATAGCTTTTTCTACGCCATTTTCCATTTTTTTTCAAAATGGTTGGCTTTCTTTTACTCCATGATCTATGCTTGAGCCTGAGTGTTATGCTGATAGCGAATAGGTTGAATTAAATTTTTGAGTGATTGAGTTATCCTTGAACCTTATATATCACAATTTTAAATTAAAAAAAATGTTATGCTTTTGCTTGCTATATAAATGCAATGCAATGTAATGAATTAAAATGTAAAATATTTTCCCTTTGACCATTTCCAATAAAAGAACTTTCATTTTTTCCAAAGAAATTTATTTTACATAAAGTTAACATTGAGCAAACTAATGTTTTGTTGATTTCATGAGAGCTTTTGGTCAAAATTATTTTCAAGGCAAATATTCTTATGCAATTTTATGAATTCTAATATTAGACATGGAGGAAAAGGAAAATAAGCAAAGAAAATGGCCAGTCAACGCACAATACAAAGAAAAAACTAAAGAAACTATATTACAACATATAATAACAAGTATAATTCCTAAACTAAATATTAAGTCTAAAAGTAAGGACAACATAAATTTACCCAAAGGTTTAGGTCCTTTAGGGTTAACTATTAGTGGTTTAGATTTTTTTTTTATCTAAAAATTTTCAAATTATCCCTTACATCATTGTTTTTGATAGACTAGTAAGGTATCTTAATCCTTACTCATTATAGGTTACAAGCAAAAAATGTTTAGTTTTAATAGGAGTATTTCATTAACATATGTAGAGGAATGAAACTTCATAAAAGCTTAAGTACTTTACCTCTTTCTAAGGGATGGAGCCCAAGTATAGAACAAATGTTATAAAAATATATATGAATAACAAAATATTAAATGCTTGAAAAAAATTTAAAATATAAAAATCTTTAAAGAAAAACTCTTTAAATTTGTTAAGCTAGGATGACATAAATTTATTACTGTATTGGCTCTCAGTTATCCTTAGCAAAGTCGATAAACAATTATAACGTATAAGTCCGAAAACTTATTTCTATATACAAGAAGATGAGTCACCATTAATATTTTTTCTTAGGATGCGATTGACCATCTAATAAATATGTCTCCTTTTAAGAGAGATCCTAAAATGGTATATTCTAATTTACAAAATCAATAAAATTCGAGAGTATAGTTACGTGTAAAAAAAGGTTATATCACATCTACATCGTCTAACCAAAGACAATTATGATTGATTTTGTGTTATCTAAAATCTTAAAACATATTACAATTTTATCTAATAATTTAATATTAAAAATTATTCTTAACATTATTCCAATAATTTGGTAGAAATTTAAGAACATTTCTTCACCTCAAGAGTATCCAAAGAAGAGTACTGCCACTATTTGAATAAGCTCTGTCATCGGGTTCATAAGATTTTCTTTAAAAAATTTTTATTTTAAAAATCAATAAAACGTTCCAATAGTTTGATAATATCTTATTTTGAAATTTAAATCCTTCAATAGTTTTGGTAGGATTGAATTTTCGTAAATTTTATTTTTTAAAAATAATCATTAAATATTTCAATAGTTTGATATAATTTAATTTTGAAATTTAAATTTTTCAATATTTTAGTAAGATTAAAAAAGAATTTATAAATTTAATTTTTTTGAAAAAGATAATTAAATCTTCTAATAGTTTGGTAATATTAAATTTTAAGATTTAATATTAAAATTTTACTTTAAAAAGATAATTAAACTTTCCAATTGTTCAATAAGATTTAATTTAAGATTTAAATTCTTCGATTATTCGGTATGATTAATTTCAAAAAAAATATATTAAATTTTCTCATGAAATTTTTAATAATTTGGTAAAATATATAATTTTAAAATAATTTTAAACTTATAAATATCCTCAAATAGTTTGAGAAGATTTATTAATTTAATTTTAAAAATTTTATGTTTAAAAAAATTAATTAATTTAAATAAATAAATAAAATCAAATAATAAAGTAAACACAAAAAAATTGCCAACAACAATGGTGACTTGGCTTAGATGCAAAAACAACTCAATTTTAATTTCAATAGGGATGCGAGTTGCTGGGGGAATCACAATTAAGCTAAGTGAGATTATAGGGCAATGCATGGATCCTAACTAGTTTAACAAAATGATGTGTTTTGGTTGCAATAAAAGGGCTTTGTTTTTTTTTTTTTTCTTATCACACTTTTCTCTTCTCCCCCTTTCTCTCTCTCTCTTCTCTTTCTATTTCTCCCTTTACCCATTGAACATCGGTTGGATTTTGCAATTAACCGCTAAAAACAACTAAGTTTCATTTGGAAGTCATTGGAAACACCAATAGAATCTAAAAAATTCCCAAATTTTTTCAAAAAAAGAAAAAAAATTCCCAGAGCTCGAGTTTTGATTTCTTTCATGTTCCTTAAACCTAAATCCTTCAAACTCCTCTTAATCAAATCTAAACCAAAAATTTCACCTGAAAGAAAAAACTATCAGAAAGCAAACCCAAAGTATTTTTTTAACACTTTTCTTTTGACGCCTAATGCTCTTTTTTCCTTCACATGTTTCCACCCCCTTTATGTGTTGATTTGCATAATTTATTTATAGTATAGTTATGATCATGCTAGAAATTTCACATAAAAAAAGAACAACTCTAGGAGTGCTTGGTCAGGCTTGAATTCTATCTTCAAATGGATATACAAAAGAATATATTCAACAACCTAATCTCCATACAATTTCCACCCACAAAATTATTGATTTTCTCAAAAAATTATTTGATTTACTTGTTCAAGTCAATCTTTTAATTTTGGCTTTTTTCCTTTTTTTTTTCTTTCTTTTTCAATGATAAAGATGATAATAAAAACACAAGATAAATAAAAAAGGATAAATAACTAATAAAAAATAAAAGAAAGATTACTATAAGTTACCTTAAATACATAGATAAATAATTAATAAGATAAATAAAAGACTAAAAATAATTAACTTTGTAAACAAAATAGATAAATTAAAAAATAAAGAAAATTTAAAAATTTAAATTTTGGACCGGGCCTAATTAATTAATTTATGTATAAATTGTTACACCCAAAACCCAAAAATTCCGAATTCGAATGGGCCATTATCGAAAATAAATTTAGTTAAAATTTATTTCAAAATTTAGAATTTTGAACTAAATGAAATATCTACATTTTTCCTTTTTATTCAATTTTTATGAAACAAAAATTGTGCAAAAACATAAATATCTATTACGTTTGGATTTGAAAATTAAATAATTTGGACCAACTTGAAGTTCAAATAAAATGATTTTGATTAAATCAAAGTTAAAAAATATTTGGGTTGAACTAAAGTCGAAAAATAAAATGACTTAAATTAAACCGAAGTTAGAAAATAAAATGAATTTGATTGAATCGAAATTGAGAAATAAAATGATTTAGATTAAATCAAAGGCAAAAAAAAAAATGATTTAGATTAAACTGATATCTAAAACAAAAAAAAAAAACTTAAATTAAACCAAAATCTTAAAAAAATTGAAATGATATAGCTTAAATCAAATCACAAAATAAAATAATTTGAATTGATTCGAAGTAAAAAAAAAACTAACAACATGGTGCCTACTCCAATTAGGATCCTCTCGCTCCCTTCTCCGGCCAAGTAAATTATTTATTTTCGCCATATATTACTTTATATTACCTTTATATATATAAGTTTTCTAACGCAACTTGAGATTACTCCTTTTGGCCATTGCAATTTATTTTATTTCCTTTTCATAGTTATTATAGGGCTGGTTTTGATATAGGAAAAACCCTTTAAATCCTATTGTCCTTGTTGATTTAAAAACAAATTTTTTTCATATTTGTTATTTTGGTTCTTACATAATAAATTTAAAGCAAAAGACATATGATATTTTATTCTAATTAATTAAGCCTTAAATTTTTTTATTATAAATTAGTTAAACATTTAAACATCTATTTTCATATAATTGAATCTTTAAAAATATATTTTCACTCTAATTGAGTCTTCAATTAAACATAAATAAATATCGACGATTAATCAATTTTTGTTTAATAAAAGTTCAATCGATAAAAATAAATATTTAAGTGTTTAATTTATTATAATAATTAAAATGATAAATCATAAATGATTATTAAATTTTTATTCGGAAATTTTTTTGAGCTATATCTTAAATTTAAACTATTTAAAATTTCCATTTTTAGAGCCAGCTCTTTTTCTTTGAATAAGAAATTCAAAAAATTCATTTTTATTAATACTTTATTTTGATCCAAAAAATTAATATTTTGATCATCAATCATATATTATCATGTGGCATCTATGTGGAAATTCAAAATTATTTAAATTTTTTATTTACATATGGATGCACATGGCATACACATGACGTGATGTTGTTGATCAAGTGTCAAGTGGATTATTAGTTAGTTGATGGGTCAAAATATTACACATTTTGAAAGTTCATATGTATATATATATATTTTAATTTAAGTATTAATTTATATATTTTCTTAAAATTCAAATATCAAATCTATCATTAACTCTAATTGAATATTTGTATAATTTTTAAGAATTGTTTATTTGTTATTATGATTGGATTACAAATGGTAAATATGAAACTTTACAACTTTTGTCTTGTATTTGTGATGCAACTCAATATATAAAAACCAAGAAAACTCACCTTAATAAATTTCACCATACTTTTTATTAGGGCTATAAATGAATGAATATAAATAAAAAAATATATAAATATGATTTATTTGTTTATTTTTAAAAGTATTCGTGATTTATTTATATTTGATAAAAAAATTACTTTATTCATGTAAATTTAATTTGTTTAAATGGTAAGATATTTACATTTATTTTGTATTCGATTCGATTCGATTCGATTAAGTTATATGAATTCATTCAAAAATATTAAACAAACATGTACAACAAATATGTTCATAAATAATAAACAAATAATAATCAAACAAAACAAATATAAATAAATTTTAAAATAATATTAAAGTAAATAATAAAAATATAATTTTGTTATTATTATTATAAACAAATAGTTTTTAAACGAATCTTAAACGAATTTATTCAAAAATATAAATGAATCAAACATATCTTTATTTATGTTTGATTCGTTTAATAAATAAATATAAAAATATTATTTAAAATTATTTATTAAACGTAATAAATAAATATAAATGAATATAAATCAAATATATTTACAGTCCATCCAAAACTCTATTTGTTTATACCTCTACTTTTATTCGTTATTCTTTGTGCTTGCCACTAGAGTGCGACGATAGAAATGAAGATTTCGTGAAGCAATCGGCAAATTTAATGGTTTTAATTAATTACTTAATTGCATTATAAAAATTGATTTAATGTATTTCTTTTACTTTAAATTGTTAAAAATTAATTGTTAATTAATAAAATTAAAAATTTAATATTTTATTAATAGATGACGATGTTGGTGAACGTCTATTCTTTGAATTTTTTTTTTTTGTTATATATTTTTTAATTGAACAACTCAATGTTCTTAGATTTGGTTTATTATTGTTATTCCTTTGAAAGAGTGTTGAAGCGTAAGGTTTGATTAATCCACACATTTTACTTGTGCATTATTACCACGAAGAGAGATTTACTGAAGCTATACATGCATGCACGGTTATTTCTGATCACATGTTTTGTACATGTGAGACAACTCAATAAGCAGTTTCAAAAGCAAAATTAAAAGAAGTACTAATTAAAAAAAAAAAAAACCCATCAACTATTAGCTTAGTATTAGAATCATATATATTACTACTGTTGCATTACGCGGCTTGGCATTTCAAGATAGGGTCCACCATTACCGATCCATCAGTGGTTCAGCCGCTCACCAACCATTTTCCCTCGCGTGCAACCCTCAACTTCATATTGAGGTCAAAGAATTATGTAAAAAAACAAAGGCACTAGAGGTGTGAACATGTCAATTTTATTTAGATCGCAGCTTGAAATAAAGAAAAGATTTGTAAATGTCGGAACCTAACATTTGAACAGCAGATGTCTCACTTACAATGATCTGTGGAAAAGCAACTTTAATTACTAGTGACCTTAACAATCATGGAGATTTGAAAATGATTACACTCAATATGGTCCTCTTTTCTTCCACACTCAACCACCTCATTCCATTTATATATATATATATATATATATATATATAACCAACCAACCAAGGCATAAGTTAGGTTTGACCCTCTCTTTCTCATTGGGATTCAAGGGAGTGGTATTTGTGTGTAGTTGAGTTTAGCAGAATGTTACACTACGTTGGACTAGGACTTAAATTTGGGTTGTTGCTAGCTACAATCATGGTTAACTCAGCCATGGCAGATTCAGCTAAAGACAAAGAGGAGTGCACACAGCAACTAGCAGGGCTGGCCACATGTCTGCCTTATGTTGGGGGAGAAGCTAAAGCTCCAACACCGGACTGCTGCAGTGGTCTCAAAAAAGTTCTCAAGAGCAACAAGAAGTGTTTGTGCGTTATAATTAAAGATAGAAATGACCCTGACCTAGGTCTTAATATCAATGTTACACTTGCTTTGGCTTTGCCTTCTGTTTGCAATGCTCCTGCCAATGTTTCCAAGTGTCCTGGTATGTGAAGGTTATATGATTTACATTGTTCCAATACTAGTTTGTTTTCTATATATTTTCTTATATCATGCATACTAAATTTTAAATAAGATTAGACTGTTATATCTAACCTATTAATTATATCTACTATGGGTTTTTGGATCACTGTTTTCTCATAGAAGGATTTGCTTTTGGAAAATGTGAATGCAGAGCTTTTACACATGGACCCAAATTCCCCAGAAGCTCAAGTTTTCTACGGTGGTGCACATAGCCCTGCTCCTAGTGCCAGTGGTAAGATTTCATTCTATTTATTAGATTTCATAATCTAAAATACGGCATGAAAAAAGAAATAAAAATTATATGGTGTAAAATTTTAATAATTATATGTAGATTTAATAAAATAAAAAAATAATTATGTTTTTATATCGATATAAATTATAATATATAATTTTTATTTAAAATATAATATGAATAAATAAATTTTAATATTTTATCCTATACGAATATATAAATTATTAGATATATTATTTTTTCTAGTGACGCTTTATTCAATTCAAAATTTTAGGGTAACGACATTTTGTTGTTTATGTCAGTGGTAGGGAATCCCGTAAGTTATAGCCAGGGGGCAAATATGCCACAGAAGGGAGATGGGAGGAAAGGATTGGAGATTGTTACCGGATGGACTGTGCTTTGGCATTTCGTGGGTTTCTTTTTCTTCATATAAGCCGGATATTATTCGGACTGTCATCAAGTAGCTGTTTATTTAATTAATTATGCTGTTAGCCCCGCTCCTATTAATTCAGTATTTGAATGGTTTATCACCAAAATAGTTATTCAGTATTTGTAACCTTTTTTCCCCAAAATAATAGACAGATTTTGATTAGTAATTTTGGGTTAATTTATAAATTGATCTCCCTGTGATATCATTTTTCATGATTTGATATTTACCAAAAAAAAAATTTATAATCATACCTTAATTTTATTTACCAAAAAATATTAATTTGGAATGATTAATTTTTCATGATTTGATATTTACCCACAAAAAAATTTATGATCATACCAAAATTCGGTATCATCAAATTTTGAAACAGCAATTGCCCTTGAAGTAAAGCTTCAAGATCAAGTAAATCTTCAAAGAAAATGGCACACGTTTAAAGAAGGCAATCTAGACCAAAAAAGACTGAAATTCCATTGTATATTACTTCAAGAGTTTTTGTCAAACGCTATTAAATTTAAGGACATGAAATCAAAAAGAAGACGAAACAATTTTAATGATTAAAACAAGTCTAATAAGGTGGTAAAGAAGTGAAGAACGAGAGAGAAGGCTGTAATTAGCTGAATAATGTATCCATCAAAAGTCAAGATGGCTACTTCATTTATCACAAATCAGTTTTACTTCTTCAAGGAGATGCAAAGTAAACTGCATTTTTTCTTCATCTTCATCACTGTATCAGCCATTTTTGACTTCTATCTGAACCACCATCGCTGAATTGCAGACACCGGAGTGTTCAAAAATGGTGCATAACGCTGGACAAGAGGATTGACAGTCCTCCCGATATTCGCCCAAACACTTCGGTGGTAACCAGCAGCGACCGGAGCGTGGTACATAAGCTTCAGTAGCTGCCAGAGAGGGAAAACAAAGACAGAATTTAGCCTCATTAATTCATTCATTTGTTAAGAAATTATCAATCTAAGCAATACCCCCATACTCTTTCCTGGAAGTGGAAATAGGGTGTTTGTGGCACCAATATAAACTGCATTAGATGCATTTGAGTGTTCAGAAAGATTTTAGCATACACAAGCATTTCGTATTTAATATTTTTTTTTTCAAATGATATTAAGAACATTAGCTCCATGTTCTATATTACAAATATTATTTGTCCATTTTTTTTACTAGAGAGATCGTAACCCAGAGAAAGGGGAAAGGGTTGCAACTGCTACAATTCGAACCCTAAACCTACTGAATGCCGCCTCGTAAAGACGACTGTCTGAACTAATTGAGTTTAGCTACAGGCTATTAATTGTCCATTCTTCGCAAAAAAGAAAAAGATTAAAAAGAAAAAGAAAGAAACGTAAAATGGAAAAGAAAGAACTCAGGGGACAGAGGGAGTAGGAAGGGAAAGGACATTTCTGAAGATCAATCAAAGAAGAAAAATAAAATATCAATCATTATATGCAAGTTAAAATAATAAATAAATAAATCCAAGATATTTATATTCAAAATCATATAAAAATGAAAATGGAAAAGAAAGAACTTATAACTTGTATTTTGACTTCCAAATGATTGTTTTAAAAAGAAAATATTAGAGATGATGAAATATGATTTCCATACTAATGCACATAAAATGCATAAAAATCATACAATACAAAGAGAAGTCATATATATATATATATATATATATATATATATATGAAGACCATAGCAATCAATAAGTATCTTAGTGTTAAGACATATGTTCCAACACTTGTTTTTTGTACATGTAAACTGAGTTCTATAACTACCTATCATACCCATCCAGAGAATTGCTAAACAGAAAGCTAGGATAACTTGTATTTTGACTTCCAAATGATTGTTTTAAAAGGAAAATAAGAGAGATGGTTAAATATGATTTCCATAATAATGCACATAAAATATGTAAAAATTATACAATACATAGAGGAGTCATATATATATATATATATGAAGACCATAGGATCAATAAGTATCTTAGTGTTAAAACATATGTTCCAACACTTGTTTTTCGTACATGTACACTGAGTTCTATAACTACCTATCATACCATCCAGAGAATCGCTAAACAGAAAGCTAATACATGAAAAAAAGAAAAAAATAGTTACAGAACAAAGGACTACAAACCTGCCAGTACATGAAAGTTTGTATGATATTGCGTTGCCACCTACCAAATTTTAACACAAACTTTCAGCAAACTAGAAAAGCTGGAGAAGGTGGAATGTATTGGCTTGGAGGGAAAAATAAACCAAAAAAGAAAAAGTTATTAGCAACTCACGATAACAAGGAAATGATTAGAAGGAAGCCAAGTCCAATCTCAGCATGTGAAGAGAGTATGCTCAGAGTAGTGGTGTTTGATTCAACCCAGACACAAGGATCTTCCAAATACTTCCTATTTAAACAAAGGAGACGATACTAATAAAGGACTGGACAAATAGACCTTCAAGCACATACATGCACATCCATAACTGTGAAGAATTTCATTTCACCCATGTTTGAGGTGACATCAAAGAATGTTGTAAATCAAATTGAACTAATGTAAATAACAGGATAAGAAATTCAGTTTATTACCTACTTTTTAGCATTATCATTCAAGAAGAAAGTATTTTGTTTATTAGCACCATTCCTTTCTGTAAAAGTTGAGTGTAAAATCCTCTTTACTGTGCCATAACACTACCATCCCATCATTATCTTACACAAGTGGTATGTTTCATTAGGATTCATTGCTTTCCTTGAATTCAAGTTGCAGCATAAAACTATAATAAATGTGTACTACTTAGTAATAAGGGTAACTAGCCACTATGCAGATCTTGCAATTTTAAACATGGCAAGGTGACACGATACGAAAATGATACAAAAGAAAACACGAAAGTGGCACAGTATAAAATTTTAGCAAAAGCAAAAATTTTATAAGAGTTTGGCAAAAACCAAAAGATATGTTTTTGTTTGGTGTGGACACAAATTTGACATTGCAATTTGTCATATTTTACATGCGTTTGATACAACACAAATACAATATAAATACACGAATTGCCAGGTTTACCACTGAAGCCAAGGAGGTTCTAGGTTCAAATCTCTCCACCCCATCTATTGGAGGGTATGTTTATAACATTAAAAGGGAAAAAGAAATGATAACAATAGTGATTATAACTTGTAAAAAGAAAATAAAACAACAGAGGCAATAGCAGCAACAATAAAACTAGCACGATTTCTGTGCATCTGAAAGTTAAGCCTTTACATTTAAAGAATATCATCCAGAAAATTTAACCAAACTTCTTTTAGTGAATATTAATACTCTGATCCCATAATTAATTAAAAAAATAAAAGGAAAAATGATGTCAAGCCATGCTAATCAAGAAAATTTAAAACTGAATCAGCAGTGTGATATAGCAGACAGTTTATATATCTGAGTAAAGGTTTACCTGTACAAAGTAGAACGATTGAAATTACACCTTAAGAACTTCGCAATGTGTTCAAGTGCTTGGCATAAAATGGGAATCAAAGCAACTGCAGTGAAGATCCATATCGATTCATCATACTATATAATTAAGAGAATTCTGTAGAAAAATTTTTAAAAATATTTAGGGGAGTGGAACGCTCACATTTAAGGCAAAGATGTGACGTGATAAATGTAAGGCAGTAGATAAAGTAGATAAAATCTTTGGTTGCGATTATTGACTGAAAATACACTTGAATAGCCTGCAAATTCCATGCCCTTGGTCTCTGCAAAACATATAAAATAGATTCAACAAAAGAACCATGGTATATTAAATCAAATGGAGGATATGTTAGTGGAAATAAGTTTACCCCATATAGTGCATACAAAGAGTATAAAGAGGAACAAGCAGTGCCCATAAATGACAGCCTATAAGCCCTATTTGAAAGACTTCTAGGAACAAGTGGAAAGATGGCAAGCACAGCCACAATAAAAACCTGCATGAAAAAATGTAAGCAAAAAATTTAACAGAAGTATGGGCAGTAAATGAAAGATGAACCAAGTTACTTGATGTAGCAACTGGCTAAATATTACTTATTATAATTGTTAATTAGTCATTAAAAGTCAATCAGCTCATCAACTCTGTGGGCCTCTCTGGCAGATTGCAAGAATAAATCAGGAAATAAAATGCACATCTTACTTATCACTTTCAAATATGCAAATATGTACACATGGGAAAAAGAAAGGGGGTGGTGGTGGGGGCAGGGGTAGTATACCCAAGCGTTGACAGAAAATTGTATTGTTTGCCGATCCCAACGCACAGAAGTTGTATTAGAACCTGCAGCTGCTGATGCCCCTGAACTTCTAGTGGTTGAGCCTAGATCACAAATTTAGGATTGAGTTCAACGATGGAAACAACTCCTTGATAAGAAAGAGCAAATAAACAAAATTCTACAATTTTTATGTTATTTATTGCAAGTTTTAGTTTCTTTGTCTAACCTCAGAAGCAAAATCAATGAGTTTTTACCCGCAGTGCGTGCTCGAGCTCTGTCATTTGCTGCTGCTGATGAGGTTGATGATGAAGCAGATGGTTTTGCTGATTGTGATGGTGTGCTTGACGACATAGCCTCTACCACAAGATCAGGGTCCTATTCATCAAACATATCCCATAGATCATTAGATACCAAGTACATAATGGAACAATACTAGAAAATTATTGAAATATGAATGTAGTAAAATGTGATATACATTCCTTATGATTCTTTTTTTTTTTTTCCAAGTATGTAGACTATTTTATAACATTCAAGAATTAAGACTACATTCAATTGTTGCTTTTACCACTTGCTTTTAGTTTTGAAAAGCCAAAAGCAGAAAATGAGCTTTCATGTAAAAACCAAATGTATATAAATATAAAGAATTAAAACTTGAGCCACTTAGACTTAGCTCAAGTGGAAAGAATAGAAAGGATTTGGATGGGGATCCTAGGTTTGGGAGGTTGTGCTCCCTCTTGTACCAAATAGTAATAACAGCATAGAAAAGGATAACAGAAAACATAAGAGTTACAGTTAGATGGAATTGTTATGTTTGAATTTGTGGTACTTTTTAGTTATTTTCTTATTGGTTTTTTTTTAAAAAAATGGCATTGCTTTATTTGTTGCTTCTTAGCTTTTTTTTTTCTTTTGAAACATATTTTAACAAAGCCCATTTGGATGCAAAAACACATAATATATTAAAGAATTGCAATTGTAATTTGCAGAACAAAGTGCATAGTTTTACCTTTAATATAGAATAATAATTATTTTAGAATTGGTATTGTATTACAGTCATGCGTTTATTCTTAATAAATAATGGTTTTGCTTTCTACCATTTACTTTTGGTTTTTTAGCAACTTTATAGGAATAAAAGTAAACGGCAAAAAGCAAGTAGCAAAAGAAAGAAAAAAAAAAAATCCCCCAAAAGTACTTTAAACTTATTAGAGCTTCTTGAACTGAAGAAAAAAGCAAATTCATCTAAGATTAAGTTCATATCAACTAAATTGACTTAATAGCAGGCATAAAATGCAAAATTACATACTGGAATTCTACAGTGCCTAAAGGGGATGAAAACAAAATGCAAACTACACCAAACCCAGATGCAAGCCTATACATCCAGATTCTAGTACCATGCAGGCAGTGATAGTCAGGCCTCAGGGATAAAAGTGGAAATAGACAGCCATATGTTTGAAAACAAAACACATACAATTAAAGGAACTAAAGTTAAACAATAAAAACAAAACACTGAGTCACCTTAGTGGAATAAAGATTAGTGAACGATCATTAACACTAATACTTTAAATTGTCAATTTATTCAAAATTATTGTCAGACATCAGGGTAGATGTAGAACTTGGAGAAGTCAAACATTGTCTTCAGCTTCAATACTCCAGATCAAGCTCAAAAAGTTACCAGAGGATGTCATAAGTTGAAATAGTTCCAAATCCTAGCACTTGGGCATATCATGATTTTAAGGCAAAGGATGTCATAAGTTGAAATAGTTCCAAATCCTAGTACTTGGGCATATCGTGATGTTGAGGCAAACATCATTTTGAAGCAATGGCTTTTTGCACGGGACAAAGAGATTGCTAAGCTTCAAAGCTTGAAATAGCAAAAACTATCTCAAGGAGAAAGTAAAGTATTAATCACAGCACTGACCTGTGCCATCCCTACCTATAGATGGTTTGTTTCAAGTTACCAAGGAAACTCTTTGATAAGATTAATTCAGCAATGGCCAAATCCCGGTGGGTTAGAAAAAGGGCGAAGGAAGATTTTATAGGCAAAACTGGCAGAATCTAACAATGGCAAATAGAAAAGGGCTACGGACTTTAAAGAGATGGCTCTTTGTAAAAAGGCCATATTGGCTAATCAATGCTGGAGGATGTCATAGGATCCAAATATTCTTTGCGTTCAATTGTTGAAAGGAAACTATTTTCCTAAAAATCTCTAATGGATGCAACAAACAGGGAAAAAGCATCTAGGGCCTCAAGTAACATTCCTAAAGGGACAGACGTTTTAAAGGAGAGGCTACTTTGGAAAGGGATGGATGGGGAAGGCATAAAGTTACTTTGGCAAGGGATGGATCAGGAAGACATAAAAGTTATGCAAGATAGATGGATACGAAATTATAAAGGTTAGACTTACATGATCAAGCTAGCATGGAACAGCTATAAATTTAGCAGAACTAATTAACAAGGAGCAAGAAGTATGGATATGTCTGCCATTAATGGATAGATTCCAATGAAGAGGGAAAAGACCATTGAAGCAATTCCATCATGTCAACAGGGGGTAGGATAAAATCGTGCCGCCATTGAAAAGAAATAGGCAAATATACTGTAAAATCAGAAATCAGTCAGTAAAACAAAAGCAGGTTAGCAGACAGAGTCAAAATTCTTCATGTTGCTGTGCACTGGAAAATAACATATGGAAAGAGGTTGGGAGGTGTCATTGTTATAAGATGAAAAGAGAATGTCACTTCTTTAAGTAAATGGTTTCAGCATGCATAAAAGAAGGAAATATTCCAAAGTAGATCAGAAACTCAGATAGCTTTTCAACTGCTGGATGATTTGAACAGGTCATTGAAAGCCATAGTCAGGGTGAAAGAAGCTGAATACTTGTTCATATTTCTGTTTTTCCAGACTAAAGAGCCGCTGGCGAATTCATCAAAGCTCAGGAAGTGAAAGAGATTAAGAGTAAAAGGGCGAGTAATCAAAACAAAGAAAATTCCAAACCATTTTTCTGTAGATTTAGCTGCAGCTTTAGAGGCCTTGGCTTCCAAAATATGAGCACAAATCAGCTTAGAACTAAAAACTGCGCAAACAAAATTATATATATATATATTTTTTATATAAAGGAGGCTACAGCCTGAGGATAAGGAAGGGGTTGCAAATGCTTGAATTTGAACCCCAGACTCGCTAACTGTCATTTCTTAAGGGTGACTGCATGAACAATCTGAGCTAAACTCTGGATTCAAACAAAATTAAATTTTAGTTAGAAGAAAAACAATTCCACATTTGTTTTGTCTTTTTTTTTCTCTTGCTGTTTTCTTGAGTAGCTAGTGGCCCTTAAAGAAAACACCATAACTAATAAAAATCATATATAAATTCACAAATCCCACAAATAAAAGTTTTAAAAAAAAAGAGATAAAAAAACAGATGGAAAATTCCGATTGTCAATTCCAAGATTCTTGTACATACCCAACACATCACAAAATCAAGGAAAAAGTCAACGTGAGATTGCAAATTTCTCTCATAATCAGCGTAAAAGCACATAAGAGAAAAACCCAGATTGCAAATTTCTAGAGAAACAAATGGAAAATCTCAAATACCCAAAGCACAATTTGATAAAATTATTTTAAAAAAAGAAAGAAAGAAAGACAAAGAAACGTACGATATAGCGCTGGTAGAACTTGCGCTTGAAGTGATCAACAACATCAGAACGAGAGGCCATGTGAGGAGGAATCAAGATATTGGACCAATAATCTGCCCATCTCAGATCGTTCTCGTAATCGTAGGCCGCCGCCGCTATTCTCTTCAGTTTTTGCGGATCTTCTCTCTCTTCGCCCATTCTTTCTTTGCTTGCTTTTGCTTTTCCGGTTCAGTTGACAAAAGAAGAAATTGCACTTTGGGTTCCACTCCTAGTCTTCTTCCCGTCCAATCTTTTTTTTTTTTTTTTTTTAATTTGGTAAGACCGTATCAAAATAAATGCCTCTTATTAATTTTTTTATAAAATTAATCCAATTTTGATTTTGGTTTTTTAAAACATTATTATATTGAATTAAAATTTTTAAATATATTTTAAAATTTTGAAATTCAAAATTAAATCTTATTTAAATTTTTTAATTTTATAATTTAAACAAAAAGTTAATCATAAATCTTAAATTAATTTAACAAAAAAATTCAATAAAAAAACAATTATGTAATTGTTTTTAGATATGATTTAAAATCAATTCTTTTTTAGATTGACAATTGAATAGATTTTTTATTTCAAAATATAGTATATTCATTTATTTTTACTTTTTTATGTTCAGATATGTAATACATTTTTCTCTTTCAACGGTTGTTTAAATAATATATAAATATTTACTACTTCACTCACAAGGAGAAAATTTTTATCTAATTTCGAGGTGTCATGCGTCAAATGAAATTTTTTAAAATTAATAAATTAAACAATTTTTAAATGATAAATCATTTATCATAGTATAGATTAATGATATTATTTAATTTAATATATAATTAATTAATTAATTTTATGATTAATTAAATATATCACTTATCAATTGAATATAAAATACTTGATTTGGTCAATCAAAATTTATTTATGAGTCATCTAATTTATTTTTTAATTAAATTAAAATAATTTAAAAATAAATATAAATTTTGACTAATCAAATTTCTTAGAATTATGGATCATCCAATCAAATTTGGATCATTAACTTTTATTTCCAATTAAGCTACAGCTATTTAAAAATAAATCAAAGATGATAAATTGTTTTGGAACTCTCTCACCTAACATCACCTACACTACAAATAGACAACTCATCATAGTCATTGAAAGATAATTCACAGTTTAAAGACAACGAGAAATTTTAAAAACACGAAGCCTTCACAAAGTTTCAAAAAACAAGCTTTGAAGAATGTAAGAAATTTTGAAGAACCCGAAGAACAAAGCACTTAGATTTTAAGAATTGTCAAGAAATTATTCTTTAATTTTATTCCTTTTAAATAAAGGAGATTAATTTCGTTTCTTCAAGATCTAGTTAAAAAAAAAAATCTTGGAGCATTTAAGAACAAGTCTCACCGACCTTTGAAGCATTCAAGAATAGTCTGTCTGATCCTTGAAAGGGATTTTTGCTAAAGAAAAGAACTAGAGATTTTCTATGCAATAAAAATTTTTAGAGATTATAATTTTCATAAGTCTGATAAATAAATTTATTATTTGTCTCTAATTTTTCAAGTCATATTTTTTACACAAATTTTGTGCGTACAAATTTTTGGTATGCCCGGTGGGACCATCTCTGCCTTATTTTCTTTCTTTAAAGTTCAAGCTTTTTAGTTGCAATAGCTGTCATAACGTATAGACCTGTGGACTTACCGCTAGACTTGAAATGAAAGGAGTCGCCAATAATTTTTTTTGGTTAAGTGTAATTGGTCACCTGATTGAAGCTGATCTGCAAAACAAAAGTTAAGTTCGAAAGTCGATTGCACATAGAGAAGGTTATAGCACCCCCAAAACACCCATCCAATGGATTGTATTAGTTTGATTTCAAATTATCCAAGTCTTGCTCATTTTTTTTATAATTTACTAGATAATTTATGAATTTTATTAGGATAGTAAACCCTTACAAAACTTTTGTTCATTTATTTATTATTTTAAAAACATTATCTTCAAGAAATTTTTTTTTTGAAATTTTTTTGAGGTATATTTTTTCAGAAAAGATATTAGTGGCAGAAGTAATTATTTTTCTTTTGTTTTAAAATGGGTTAGAAATAAAAAAAAAAAAAGAAAACATGTGATCAAGTCGGGTTAGGACACGGGTCGACTTGCAGATACTAGCTTGCCCAAAACGACGTCATGTAGAGGCGGTATATAAGGTACCATTTAGCATTTTTTCCTCAGAACTCTAGAATCTCTCTCTCTCTACACCCCAAAACCTCTGACCTCTCTATAGAAAAATCACCAAAAAGTTCAACCGAAAATTGGAAACTCATCGGTTTCTAAAAACTTCACCAAAAAATTTAACTAAAAATTGAAAAATTCATCGATTTTTGGAAAACCTGCCAGATTCTGGAAAATTTATCGAAATCTCACCGAAAACTTCAATCTTCGTCGAAAAATTCATCCCTTGTCAAAAAATTCATCTTAAACCCAGAAAAAACCTAGAAAGAATTCAAAAAAATTCCTACGTCGTCCTAAACCCTCTTTGAATCACTTGCAACTTTAGGATTACCTTAGAACCCATAATCAAACCTAGAATCTCAATTTAACTCCAAAATCTCAAAACCACATTCCAAAACCCTTTCTATTCAAAAATTTCCCAAACCTACTTTCAGTAATTTTCACTCTGTTTTTTTATCTGTCTTTTGTGTTCTTGTTTGTTAGAGACAGTTCAATTTATAGGCATCTTTGGGATTGATTTTAAGAAATCGACAAAATCAATCTCAAGCTTGAATCCTGGGATTGAATTCTGTCCTAGAGAGATTTTAAGTCCAAATCTTAGTAATCACATCAAAACTTTGACAAGTGGGATTCTGATTCTGATTTTCACTCACGTGTGAATTGGATTCGAAAAGGAAAGCAGAAAAGAAAGGAAAAAAAGAATAATAATAATAATAATAATAATAAAATGTTTAATTGAACCAAAATGGGTTAGGATGAGCCTAAACCAAGACGGACCTGACCATATTGAACTTAATTGGGTCCAGACAAAAATGGGCCCGGTTGGGTTCGGACCTGAATAGGTCCAACTGCGCTTGGACCATAATGTGCTTAATTGGGTCCAGACCAGAACATGCCTAATTGGGTCCGAACCGAAATGGGCCAAATTAGGCCCAGACCAAAATGAGCCTAATTGGGTTCGAACAAAAATGGGTATCTACAGCTACCCTTCTTTGTACATCCTTGTTAGATAAGGATGTTGCAAAGACCTAGATACCCACTCTGATAATGAGTTTGAAAATTGACCTGGACTGAGCCAAGATCGAACAGTCGGGATTAAACCACAAGTCAAATAAAATGATCATGATCGAGTCAAAATCGAAAATGAATGATTGAGACGGAACCATGAATCATAAAAAATGATCTAGACTGATCCAAGACCAAGTGACCGAGGTAAAACCACAAGTCAAAATAAAACGACCATGATCGAGTTAAGGTCGAGAATAAATAATCAGGACAAAACCACAATAAGAAATAATCTGGACTAAGCCAAGACCAAGTGATCGAGATGAAACCATAAGTCAAAATAAAGCGACCAAGATCGAGTCGGGATTGAGAATACATGATTGGGACAGAACCACGAATTATAAAAAATTATCTAGACTGAGCCAAAATCAAGGGACTGAGACGAAACCATAAGTCGAAATAAAAGAACCAGGATCGAGTCAAAGTCAAGAATAAATAATCGAGACGAAACCATGAATCATAAAAAATAATCTGGACTGAGTCAAGACCAAGTGATCCAGACAAAACCACAAGTCAAAATAAAACGATTAGGACCGAGTCAAAGTCGGGAATAAATGATCAGGATGGAACCAGGAATTATAAAAAATAATCTGGATTGAACCAAGACCAAATGATCGAGATAATGCAAATGTACGCCTTATCTATGATGCAAATGAATCATTGATAGTGGTACTAAGGCTTTTGTATACTCATTTATGTACACCTTTAATAGAGAACCATCGGATATTATCCTACATGTTTACCTTCATTATGCACTTTAACAAAGAAATTCCTCTTCACATTTGACAAAGAAGCTATTTTTTATCAATCTGGAGGTGTATTTTTGACAAAGAAACCATCTTTCATCACCTTGGAAGTATGCAAAAAAATTATTTTTCATCATCTTAGAGGTAATTTTAGCAAAAGAACTTTTGCGACCACCTGTTTATTTATCCCAAAGAGAGCCATGGAAGTTAATTTCCTCTTTCTTTTAGTGAGTCATCTTTTGCCTTTATCTCTTTCAATCTTTTAAAATAACACATTTCTTATGATTTTATTCAATTATTAATCATTATCCCAATTTAAAAGCATGAGGATGCAAGTTATGCATTTTTTCCATTCATGGTAAAATATAAAGAAAAAAGGCAATGTATAAGATTTAGAGAATGAAAAGATGGCTTTCATTTATTTGAATAATCAATTACAAATGATGGCGGGAAAGGAAAAAGAATGCACAAGAATGGCTATTTGGGGTAGCAGTACCCTAGGATAAATGATTAGATAACCATGTAACAAATATCAAATCTTCTTCAAAAACTCAATTAAAACTTGATGCCTTAATACTTTAAAGCTCTTCAAAATTTACTATCTCAGATATACCTTGCCAAGTAATGACAATTCTAGTTGCCTTTTAGAGTTTCAACCCTTCATTTGGTTCCAAGTCGCCCTTTCGAGTTTTTTACTTGAACTTCTCCCCAAATTTTTTTTTTTTACATTTTTTTTAATTTTTTATTTTTGATTTTTAATTTTTTAAGTTTTTTGGGTTTAGATCACCCTTTTGGGTTTTCGATTTGACTTTTCTCTTTTTTTTTTTGGAGATTAAGTAAAATACTTTCTCACTATATCAGAGTTACAATACCAAAAAATTTATTTCCATCCATCTTTGACAAGATCAAGGCTCTTCTGAAAAAAGCTCTTTTTACCATATAAGACTCCTCTCAATTTGGAGTCAATTTTTCTTTATCATCATGATGACTTGGAAGAATCTTTTTTAACACTAATTTTCCCTCTCAAAACTATCGAGCTCTAACCTTTTTATCATGAGCTCTCATTATTTTTCTTTGATACAATTGGCCATAGCACAACGTCGTCAATCTCTTCTCATTGATAAAGTTCAGTTGCCCATAGCACTCTTGAATTCATTCAGCTTCTTCTAATCTCACTTATTTTAGAACTTTTAGAGATGAGATTTCTACTTCTATTGGTAATACAGCTTTCATCCCGTAAACTAAAGAAAAGAGAGTTACCT